GGATAATCCCAGATAATAAACTACAAGAGCAGGTAGACAATGTCCAAAACAGGATTCATGAGCTCCCCCGGCTGGGTGCATCTCTTGGCCAGGTAGATGCCTTTATGCAGAACTTGATCAACATAATCCAAGGCTGTGTCAGGATAGTGGGCAAGAAGCCCCGGCAATCTAGGCCCACTGCTTGATGAAATAATGAATACAAAACAGCTATTCAGACATACAGGGCCTTGTCCAAACAGACCGTAAGCCAAGAAAGGCGGAATTCAGCCCGACGGGACTTTCGCCGCGTAATTCAGAAAGCTAAGAGAGAGTACTGGCAGACTCTAATTGATTCAGCAACTGAGCCAAAAGATCTGTACAGAATCGTTTCTTGGCACAAGCTATCAGCAGGATTGCGTTCCCCTCTAATTATCATAGGAGACCAAATATTCGAGTCACAAGAGAGCAAGGCAAATGCATTACGCTCAGCCATGCTTGAACGAAGTACCTCAGACAACGATATCATCGACCCCTGGTCCGCTCAGATCACACAACCCAAGCCATATATCCCCCTTGAATACCATGTCGGACTGGAAGAGGCTAAAGGGTGCACTTTAGGGACCAAGAGCAACTCCCCGGGAATAGATACCCTCACAGTACGGATTCTGAAAGCTTGCTGGCCAGTCATTAAGGAATATATCAGAGCCCTTTTCCAGACCTGTCTACAGATCAGACATCACCCTAAATCATTAAAAATAGCTGAGGTAGTAATGATCGCAAAACCAGACAAGACAGATTACTCCAACCCCTGGGCCTACAGACCAATATTATTACTGTCATGTCTTGGTAAAGGCCTAAAATGACTTATCACAAAAAGAATTACTTGGTTTATTATCAAACTTGGAATTCTAGCTCCACAATATTTAGAGCTCTATCAAAGCGTTCTGCCACCGACTTGGTAGCTGCACTCATACACGATATTGAGCAGGCCCTTGACCAAGACCTCGTTGCAATGGTAGTCACGTCAGATATGAAAGGGGCCTTTGATGCTGCCCTAATGGGACGGCTGGTGGTTCACATGAGAGAACACGGCTGGCCGGGCTTTCTCATAAGATGTGTCCAGTCATTCATATCCGAGCGGTTCGCAAGGGTTCAGTTTAAAGGTATTATAACCAATATTAAAGTTCTCATTTGTAGGCTATTACAAGGCTCACCAGCCTCTCTAATCCTTTATATGCTGTATATAGAGCTAATCTATGCCCGACTTAGTATGAAAAAGAGACGCTTTGGATATACAGACAACTTAGCGACTCTCTATATTAGAAAGGACCTTAAAGAAATAATTATAGAGACTTCTAAAAATCTTTATTTGCTCAATTAATAGGGACATAACAATGCTATTAAATTTGACACCAATAAAACTAAGATCATGCACTTCTTAAGGAAAAAAAACTTAAATAACCCTTTAGTCTGTCACGGAACAATGAACAAAATAGCCAAAATTTCCATGCGATAGCTAGGTGTCCTTCTGGATAGAAAACTAAATTTCAAAAATCACGTTTCTTACTGGGCCAAGAAAGCTAATAAGGTAATAAATCACCTTCGAGAACTATACAACACAGTCAAAGGACTTCCAGTAAAGTCAACCAAGAGATCTGTGAAAGCTTGTGTTATTCCTATTCTTACACACGGCCTGGAGGCCTGGTACCCAGGAATCAAGAAAGTTGGGAGCTTAGGTGGGACATCAGCATGTCGCATTAAGGGGCTTCTTGGAACAATAGATGCCGCACTACGAACAGCGATCAGGGCTATCTTGCCAGGCTAGAAAACACACCCTGGATATATCCTATACTTTGAATCATATATTCCCTTAACAGGAGTTCTTGCAGAATTAATAAGACGACGTCATAGCCTCTGACCAGAACGAATAGACCAGAGACACCCTCTTGTTGGCAGGCTCCAAATACAAGCTCACAAGAATCCAACAAGGCTACAAAGGAGCTTCCAGCTAGTCCCTGACTTCCAGAGACCAACACTTACCAGGCCATTATGGAAGAAGCCCCTAATCTGTAAAAACAAAGACAAAGAAACAGAGCTCTTCAAGCAATGGCTACAGGAGAGAAACGTGAATACTGACCTTGTCATCTATTCATATGGATCACAGTTGGACGACCAAGGCACAACCCGCACTGGATGGGGTTATACCATCAGGAAAGGCGGCACTACACAAGAAGTATACCAGGGAAAGGGCAGACTTCTTCAAGCAGAAGTAATAGATACTGAAGTCCATGGCGCTCTCCAAGGTCTCGCAGCAGCCAGGGCGATTAGACGCAGAAAATGGCTATATGTCTACCTGGACAACACGTCAGTGGTAGATGGGCTCAATGGGACTCCACCTGAGACATCACAGAACATTTTTTTACGATTTCAAGAACTTGCCACAGCACACACTTCTGGAATGACCGTTAAGTGGATTCCTGGACACAGAGATATTGATGGCAACGAAGCTGCCGACATACTAACAAAAGAGGGTACTATGCTAAAAACAGACATAACAAACCTTCCTATAATCTCTTGGGTCAAGAGAGATCTCAAAAAAAAGGGCAAAAAAGAGTTCAACCAATGATAAAAAGACCAATCAGAACCTAAATATTAAGAAATATACTCATATACAATAACTAAAAGGGACCTTATATCTTTTGAAAGGAGCATTCTATACAGACTTCTAGCGGCCAGATCTGGACATGGCGACTTTGCTAGATATCACGAATATTTTGGGCATATAGACTCGAATGACCACTGTAGCTGCGGTAAGAAGAAAACACCACAATATATTTTCTTTTGTAAGAGGCTTGGGAAAAACTGACTGCTGCCCAGGTACTCGCCTAGGACAGCCTGTTTACAATACTTGGGGGAGAGGAGCACGGAATGGGCAAGATTTATTGAGAAGAGCAAGTTCTTTTCATCAATCTGTCCCTGATAAATAGCTGTTCTTAAAGGACCAGATGGATGACCCTGAGGTCATACCGCCGCAACAACGGGGATGGGCCCGTGAGCGGGACTGACTGTACTTATTATCTTGAGACCTCCACAACCCTGTTATACAGAGGCTCTGGGAGGCGTGGTTTGCACTACTGAGGAGCTACCCCCCACGTTAAATACAAAACAAACAGACAAACAAACAAACAAACAACAATCACTCAGACAACGACAGGCCCCATCCTCCACTCAGCCGGCGATGCACCACAATGAGCGGACTGCCCGATCCCCCCCGGCGCGCATGTCGAAGAGGGAAGCTGACTTCGTAGAAGCCATGCATAACACGACCCTGGAAATGGCGGGACACGCTGCATATACTGATGTACACAATATATCTACAGTAACCGACCCCGATGGATCAGTTGATCCAGCTGACGTGGTACTGGAAGTGAGAGGCATCCCTCTCGAACTCCGTGGCGAGTCAGAAACTGGAGTCGAATACTGTTGCGACTCGGAGGGTACAGTCACCTCTATGGTGTTGGGCACGGCAGCGCCCGGTAAATGGGATTCTGTAAAGGCGACCTCACGCCACAAACTCTGCGTTCTATGTCTGGATTTGTTGGACTATTACTGCGCCTTCGTTCGTGTTCGACCAACTGATGGTAAGTACCCACACGTACACTCACTTCTGTCCTCACCACTGTCATCCAACCACCGACGAAACTGACAGACCCAAGTCGGCAAACAAGAGCTGCCACCAAACCTCGTGATCCATCACCACAACCTCTGTTCGTTGCGTCTTATGTCAGAGATTGAGCACTGCTACCTCTGCCGCATGGTGCTTCAAAACCTAGAGGTCAGATGTCCCGCTGCCCTTGACCCGAAGAACTACTTGAGCTTGCGGATCGAAGTGTGCTGCCCTCAGAAGGGCAACGTTAGGTCGTCCTGGAGGAACATGGAGTATAAACATATGGATAAACAGGATCAGCTCTGTTTCATGCTGATCAATCCCTCAGCTCCGCGCGGTGACTTCAACTGGGTTCGGATCTTACGGTTGATGGCGTAGCCAAGCCATGTGTTCTCTGCCGAGTCCGGACTGGCTACCATTATCGACCCTATCGAATTCGGTCTTGCAAAAGATGGGAGCATGGTGCTTAATTCACAAATTGCTGCAGCCGTTCATAAACCGACGACCCACTCGACGACATCTAAACGTCTCGCCCAGCACTGGCTGTCAAGGTGTAAACCCAACCAAGACGGACGTCACAAGGAATGCAACCGAAAGACGGACCCAGGTTACCTCCCTACTCGACTCTTGGATGTGCGAGCCGCGAAAGAGACTTCAAAGCTTCGACTGGTCTATCCCACCAAGTGCCCGAATGTTTTTACTGACGCCCCGGATCGTGAATACATCACCCTTAGCCACTGTTGGGGGCAATGGGGTGCTACGGGCAATCCACTTCTGAAAGAAGCGGTGCTATTATAGAGAGAAGAGGAGGGTCTGGAACTACAGGAACTCCCCAAGACCTTTCAAGATGCAATTGAGATTGCTTCATGGTTCGGCTGTGAGTTACCTTTAACCCCAGTAGTCGCACAACTCATGTTTCAACAGGTAATTGGCTGTGGATCGACTGCCTGTGTATTGTCCAGGATTCGGCCAGCGACTGGAACAGAGAAGCCGCATTCATGTCCCAGACATACGAGAATGCCATGCTCAATATTTCAGCCAACCATGGCGTAGACTCCCGCGCTGGTTGCTTTGTCGACAGAGATCCCCTTGTTATTACGCCTTTGGAGATTCACATACCACAGCTTTCGAGGGACCTGACTTTAGTCCCACATGCCATGCACCTGACCGGGGAAATCGCTAAATCCCCAGCTCAATCTCGCGCTTGGATAGACAGAGAATGCCAGGTGGGTTTTCATGCCGAAGTCTGCAGTCTGTCCGAAGCACGGAAACTCGCACTGCTCAACCGTTGAATTCTGACTAACAGACAAACCAGATCGCTCGCAGAGTTCTGCATTTCACATCGAAGGAAATCATGTGGGAATGTTGCGGCTCAGACAAGACTTCCTTTGCCAGCGAGACCTTTCCTGGTGGTGCCCCGTTCAAGCAGGGGACTTTCAATCTGCAGAGATATCAAATCAGCCCTGTGCATCAGGGCTTCGACGACTACTGGGGCCCATACGATCTGTGGAATTATGTGTGTCGCATACTCTCCGGGAAGGATATATCGGTGAAGTCTGACTTGCCCATCGTCCTGTCAGGACTGGCACGCGATTTTGCACGTCGGCTTCTCGTCGATGATGAGTATGTCGCAGGTCTGTGGAAGCTGGCATTGCCCCATAGTCTACTCTGGCATACAGATTACATGAAGATGTCAGACCGCGGTGGAGATGGTTACGCCGATGACAACGAAGAGCCATACGTCGCGCCATCCTGGTCTTGGCTTTCACAGGCTGGCTTCTCAATCCGACCCCGTAGCCGGCAAGATGCCTCACGCGGAAGAAAGTTTCCGACTACGACAGTATCACGAATTACGACAGAACTCCGCTTCGATGACGACCCCTACGGACCAGTCAAGCCAGGCGCCCAGATGGAAGTGGAAGGGGTCCTGCGTCGAATCCAACTAACGTTCACCCAGGGCTCCGCTACCTCTCACATTGCCGTGTTGGATGAAAGAGACGACACAGACAGAACACAAGAAGAAAGAACGTATCGAGACATCGGGCCAACCTGGGAAGCAGAAGTCGGAGACCACGCATTCCTATACCTCGACCGCATGCCAGAGGATACCACTCTCTATTGCCACTGCCTCTTGGTCAGCATTCAGCCTCACGCATCCTACATGGGGTCGCGTCCTATCAACGAGAGGACCATCGGGTGTCTACTCCTACAATACCTGGGAGACCAGTCTGAAAAGGACGCTGATGGCGAGCCACTGCCGCGCAACCGTCGAATCGGCACTCTGCACCTCAAAGATCTGTACGCCTCGAAGATGCGGTACACCTTTTCCGAGGATGAGGATGAGCCTTCTGACGTAACTTGGGAAGATGCCCAGCACTTCATCTACACAGTCCAGAACGCGGTTCATCAGAAGGAAGAAAGGGAGAAAGACGAGCGCCAAGAAAAATTAGACGGACAATCCAAAAAGGGGGAGAAGGACGTGAAGGACACCGCGAAGACCGCCAGCGGAACCAGTACCTCGGAAACCCAGAAAGATCCACCAATGTCTACAGCAAAAACAGACACCAACGAAGACAGAGAGGCCTCAAGTCCCGAAGGCTCGTCAGATACCCTTTATCTAGACAGCTTAGCTACGAGATACGGCCCACCGCAAGAGAACCTCGACCAGATCCAGGGCGTTGAGGCGTTGTACCAGTTCGACGTGATCCTAGGGACGGCCCCTTCTGACTTCGGTGCACTGGAGGAACTGGAGGCTATGAAACTTCTCATTGTCTGAACATAGTGCATGTTCTGGCAGGTCCGACATAGTCACGTTGGAAGGAAGGCGACAGACAGAGCGACGATAGGTCTGACATAATCGCCAATTTAACCACTCATTGGATGTCCATAGTCCGGTTCCCATGTTGCTAAAGGTCGTGTGATAAATCATTGTTCAATTGCCACGCCTTGCAAGTTATTGTAGGTATCCCGTGGTAAGGAGCTCCTTTCGCCCCGTTGTGCTTTGAGATAGGGTGGGTGCTAGAAGAGCGACCCGACTTCATGTGCCTAACCCAGCAGGTTAAGAGCTCGTATCGATCATGTAAAATCAATTTAAGCTCTGCCATAACTTCGAGCAAACTAACAATTTTTCATAACTTATCACTGTATTTTACTCGTTTGTTCCTTCAACTCTAACGGTATTACGTATTATACATTAAATGAACTTATCCCTCCCTTAGATCCGTTATTACAACATCGTTGTAAGCTTTCGCCCTATCACGTCGAGAAACCTCTGTTCCTTTGCTCTCTACCGTCTTAAGGGGTTGTGTCCAAAAATCCCGGTCGAAGTTCGAGTGATTTCTAAGAAACTCTAGGTTCGGTTCACTTCATATTCTAGCACTCTTCACTCCGGGTACCGACGAGCATACAATGAATGCATATCCTCTTGGAACAGGGAAGTAATCATATTTCATTGTTGAAAGGCCTAATCCTCAACTTCGTGCAAGCTTTTGCGGCATTCCATTTCTCCACAAGCTCCAGGTATTGCCTCACCGTCCCCTTCACCGGGTCTTCAAACCCTTGCAACTTCCCAAACACCTCTTCCGTCTCTCTCGAGTCCACCATTACCGGCAGCATCTGCCGATTACCTCCCAAGGGAAGCATGCCTTGGGCCACCGCATGTGGAAACTCCCTCTTTACGATTTCTGTCGCTGCGTCAAAATTCCACTGGCATGCTAAGCGCAAAGTTTGCGTTGCCAGGCACCTTCGTAGCGTCCAGAGATCCCACCAGAACGCGCGCGACGTCCTCGACGCTATACACGGCCGACACCGTCGGCTCGCATGGAAGTCCCAGCACTACGTTAAGAATGTTATTCGACGTGCTCTCGAGTAGCTGCCCAGGCCTTTCGAATGTTGAGCTCCGGCCAACGACCCAGGCCGGAAAGACGTTTATGAGCGTGAAAGGTGGAGGCTGCTGCTACTGCGGCTTGACGAGGTCCTCGGCCCACACCGTCGCGTGGATCTTGCCGGCGCGGTAGGCGACCTTGGGTGACGGGTACGGCGGCTCGGTGAAGTCGGAAAAGCGGCTGTGCGCGGTGTAGGTGTTGTCGGCGTCACCAGAATCAATGTAAACTTGCATGGGAATGAGCATGGCGGCACTCGAGGGCAAGACGGCGCGCTTGACCTTGCTGTCTGTGGTCGGGTTGGCGGCGGCTAAGAGAAGATTCTTGTTAGCCTCGACGATTTGCACGGCGAGCTCAGAAGCGTCCACATGGTCGTGGGGGGGGAGGCGTTGCGATATGGAGAATGGAGTCGACGTCTTTGACGGCGGCGGTAAACTCTGGAATTTCGACGAAAGAGAGGGAGGATGTGTAGGGGGCGATGGCAGGGACTGATGTAAGGAAGTTGCTGCGAGAGATGGAGCGGACGGCGGCGCGGACGCGGTAGCCCGCTTGGAGTGTTTTCAGGAGAGCGAGAGAGCCGACATATCCGTTTGAGCCGGTAACCTAAGACACATTAGCACGAGTTCGCTGGGCCCTGTAGAATACATAGAAATCATATGGGTGCTCACAAGGACAAGTGGGCTCGTCATGATGTACTGATTGTATATAAAATAGCAGCTGCAAAATCAGAGTACGAAGTGAGAAGATGACGAAGAAAGCTTTAAGTATTAAGATGAACACGTCTATATCAAGGTGGCACGAACACGTTGACCGTTGGGTGTATAAGTTAAGGGCGCGCCCTTATCCCCAGGGCCCAAATCAATTACATTACATCCACGAAGCCACGGATTCGCGTGGATGTAAGGATTTACACCAAATCCACGAAATAGTGGTCCACTGAAGCCCCAAATGGATGTAATTGATGGTGGATGTACATATTTTTGGTGGTAAAGCTGAATTCCTCATCTGGGATGGCCCTGACACCCCCATATTCGTACTAAAGCCGTAATATTTGTCCCTTTGCCCGAAAGGGTGTAATAGCCTCTCGTTCAACTGCTAGCAGTATTCTTCGTCGTCTGCTTCACGTGTCCTTTCGCTAACTGCTATCCACGCAGTTGCCCACTTTGCGAGCTCGTCAGAGGACATCCTTTTGACGTAATCAACTTCATCCTTCTCGTCGGGTGACAGCAATACGGGGTCTAACTCGTGTATAACACCAGCTCGTAACCACGAACGCAGTACCTGGCAGAGACTGATGATTATAGCATCTAGGGCGCCGCGAAGGCTAGTCGTCATCCGCCCTGCTGCCGAAAAAACCCTCTCACATTCGGCAGACATCGGTTGAACTGTGAGGATGTCAAGCGCCATTTGTGAGAGACAAGGGTATTGGTGACGTCGTTCGTGCCAGTAGGCTAAAGGATCGAATATTGCGTTATTCACAGTCTCGTGAGACTGCCAGATCTCGTATTCGTCTCCCAGAGTGGGTGAAATCGGGGCCGAGCTTGCTTGTTGATGGATGAATTCCTCGAGAGGGTTCAGATCGATTTTACGGCACTTTTGGGCAGGCTCGTCGTCATTAAGGGTGTTCTGTATCTCGAGATCACGGTATTCGGTATCCCACAGCTCTTGGACCAAATCTTTTGCCTTCTGAATCCATTCGGGCCGATCATTCCATTTCTGTTCGAACCAGTGCCATCGGAATCGGTGGTGAAGGGCTATAGCCGCGTAATAGAGGGGGGTCTTGTCGAGCTTCTGATAATATTCGTCTAGCTTCATCCAACCAAGGTTGATGTTAGCTACGAAGTGTTCACTGTCAGGAAGCTTGTTAGCAGTAATTTTATAACCCTTAAGCTTGCCAAGAAGGAATTCAAATCCAAAGATAACATCCCAGATGTTACCATACGAACCGGTCCATCCTTTCCGCTTGCGTTGCATGCCATCCCCTTCGAGTAATTTCACGGTGTGTTCATAGTCAGTAAGGATAGCGGCAGTGTGCTCAAGAACGGTCCAATCGTGATCATTTAGATGATTCTCTTCTTTGAGGATTCGGGGCCGCCTTGCCATGGCCCTGTCACTAACGAGGCCAGTCCTCTTGGATCTGTGTTGGTCTTCCTATTCCTGATTAAATTGGGCTATCATTCGAGGGAGATACGGGCGAAGCTTGATGAGACGGCGGATCATATATAACTGTGAAAGCCATCTAGTGTCGTTATCGAGGATGACACACAGTGCCCTGGTGTGAGGAACTGTGAAATCGAGGACATCTTGCCGTTGGACGTCAAGAAGGATGTAATGCAAGCGGTCAGATCGCCAGATATCAACGACGAGGTTGTGAGCCTTGCCAACAGGGCCTAATCGGTGATACAACGCGTGTTCAGCAACCGAAAGAGATTCGACCTTGCTGATCTCTGTTTGGAATGCTTCAACATCAGTACCAAACAATAAGGATTTGGCAGAGAGATTCAACTGATGCCCGAAGCACCGGCCACGCCGTTTCTTGCCCTCGAAGCCTAGGGCTAGCCCTATCTCGGTTGATGCCGTATCCATATTGGCAGCGTTATCGAGAATAAGAAAGCCGATCTTATGGTCAATACCAAACATCTTCAAGACTTCGACGATTTGCGTGGCAATATTTTGACCTGTGTGACGAATGGAGACCTCGGGGATGCCGAGAACTAGCTTGCAAGGCTTGTTGTATTCATCTCTGAAAAAGACGACTACGCCATACAAAGCGCAATGATTACCTGACCGCCAGCCATCAAAGGATACGTGTATCTTGCCAGGTGAAGCCCTCAACGCCTCGATGATGGCTCCCTTGTGCCGTTGGAATTCGCGTATGATTTTTTTGCGTAGCCCGGTCGAGGAGATGTGCCCGCTTTGGTCTGTGATACACGGGTTGAGGTATTCGTGTGCAAGGCGTAATTTGGGATGATTCACAGTAACAAAAGGAAGGTTCTCTTCAACGATCCATTCTATAAGGAGGCGGTGAAAGGTATCTCGATCGAAGTTCTTCAGCATGCTATTGGTTATTGCTTGGTCTCGAGGGTTCTCTGGGTTGACGGAGAGATATCGGTGAAGCCGTTGTTGGCTCGTATCGTTGATTGTTTCGGCTCGTAATTGTGCCTTGGATCTGGTCTTTTCACCCCCAGGGGCAGAGATCGATTCGACTAGATACAGGTGCTGTATGGCATTCTGAAGGCCTGCAGATGTGAAAGAATCGGGTACGGGATTGCGGCGAGTGATACAGTATCGGCACACCCATTTGAAGGTCCTACCCTTCTGGATGTCATATCCGTGATCCCAGGCCCAGGAGTTGAGACCTCGTTTCCACTGAGCCCACGTATAGCCACGAAAACACGCAAAAAGAAAGGCTTCGTCGCCCTGAGAGATGCCGTGGCGGAGGGATTCTCGTCGAGATGATTGGGGTGCTGGTGAGGGGTTTGCGGACAAAGGGACGTCGTTGGGAGGCTCGGAGCCACCGTGTATCGAGGATTCAGGTGTACCGGCCATAGTGAAGCGTGCTGAGGGTACTGCTTGCAATTCGAGGCGAAAAAATTGAATGAACAGGTGAGTTCGAGTGGTTGGGTCGTATTCGAGTGAATCTGAATGATTTGCCTGCTTTGGAGTGGTTTGCGTGGTCTGAATGTTGTTTGTGCCATTTGGTGGCTGCATTCAGAATTTGCATGCTAGCTAGCTAGGTGGTTGAAATCATATGTCAATGTTTCTACCAGTGATATAATGCCCAACTCTTGATTAAATACGCATCATCTTGGTATAGTGGTATGGTAGCGCAAAGTTTGCCTTGCGGAAAAGGCTACGTTCAGATCCTCTAGAAAGCTCGGGATTTTTTTTGTGTAAAAAACGGGGCTCTTAGATTTTTGGACCAATCAGAGCCCATATTTCATCCACTGTCATACACTCGTCCATTACGTCAATTACACTAAGCCTTGAATGTAATGGATGACCCCTTCAGCTCCAGTGGATGTACGCCAAAGTGCTCCACTAGCGTGTACACCAGTGGACTAGCGTGTAATTGATTTGACCCTTGCTTATCCCCTCAACACAGTAAGCCCTTGTTGAGAACTCAATCCGTCTAACTTGGCTAGTGTTCCGCCCTCTGCTCCGGTCAGGGATTTCCGCAGATCACAAATTAATGTCTGTCTGTTCCTATCTGCCGTGACAGAAGGGCGTCAAAATACTGGAGTATTTTGACGCCCTTCTGGGTGACTGTGTAAGCGTAAGCACAGGCCTAGCACGTCAGCCACCATAAGCTCCACATCACAGGAGAGGGCTGCGCGTTGAGTGTTGATTACTGCGACTCAAATCATCTATCAATTCTGTTGCACAGCAAGAAGGCCAAAAGGTTGCATATCTGCTGTATTGGTGTTGGTGTTGTGGAAGGTCTGGAGGTGGTGCGCAGCTGCAGTGGATGTGGGCAATATGCCAACCCAAGTGGGTCACGTGACCACGCAACAAATTCAAACCCTGGCAATCGTCAATGCTCCCGCCGCGTCTCCATCCACCGAGCAGCTTGGGGCACGTTCTCTGGCGTCTCATTTCGGGGCAACACGACACCCTCATAGGCCCAGATCTCCGTATCGTCCCAGCCGCCGTCTTCGTCCTCGCAGTAATTTATCATTGTAATACGCTGGCAGCCCGGAATCCCGCCCTGCGATGTGCATTGAGTAAGGTAGTGGTGCCGGAGGAGCGACCTGGAAAGCCTCTCAAACCCTGCTCAACTTGCTCAAAGAAGCGCTGCACGGAGCTTTGCTCCTAAAATTCGGCTTTGGCGGAGGACTTCATGTGGTTTCCGTTGGGGGCGGTGGCACTGGAGTGCGAAACTTCCGCAATAGACTCTTAGAAGTACGGGCTAACGGCCTCCGATTTGAGCATGTCTTCCAGTGCCAGATTGGTTGAGAATGTCACACCGAGCTTATGCCGAAGACTTGTTGAGCCGGCAGGAGCGGCCGCCTCTTCTGTTCGGCGACTGTGCCATCTCCGCTGCTTTCAAAATAAAACGTCGATGCAGCTGGTATGAGGTAGAGTTAGAAGCTCGGAAGAGTATGAAAGGCTAGATGAACTATCTAAGCAATTGCTGATGGTTACTATAAAAAGACAGACAATAATGCCAATCTGGTGCCTTACCGGCGAATTTATATGCTCCCAATTCATATCCTCAATGACAAGTAGGCAACAATATTATAGCTCTTGAAATCCCGGTGACTGTGTAGGGGTCATCATTCTATCACTCGTGCTATTTAAGAAGCTGCATCATCGTCTACTGATCTGATATGGGGGTTTCTAGCGCTGGCAATGGTAGCACCAGCCCAGCCTCCCTGATGATAACCCTTAGCCAGTCAAGTCTAGGAAAGCATCAAGTAGTGCTGGTGGGAATAGAACTTAAGTTCACTTTCATATGGCTTGACCGTATCTAGCCTGGGCTGTATGTACTACGCCTGCAGACCTGTACCCTGGGTTGAACCTCATTTCCCTTCCCGTGATAGTCCTGCAGGGCAATATCGATATTTATAAAGAGTCCAGCGCGGAGGCGCGCTTCTCTTGCCTGTTAATTACAAACAGGGCGCAGCCACTTTACAGTCATGCTTTGGAGGCGGCATCTCATGGATAGGGACAAATCCCTTATCTCACA